TTGACGTCCATTCTATTTAATCCAATATTATTTGGCTTTATGAATTAGGGTCGTTCCGCAGATTATGCTGACCCAAGACCAAATACCTGACAGTTACTGCTAGTAAATGTTTAAGGTCACCACAATAGCTACCGGTATTTACTTTTGTAATGTCGATTTGTTTACGTTAATTGGCATAAACTTGTATTAATTAATTTCTTTTAATAATATATATTTTTTTCAATTTAGACATTTGTTTTGTTTGCACCTGAATGTTCTTTTTTTCCCTTCATTCTTTTTTTTTTCTTTCTTTTTTTTTTTTTTTTGTATATTGATAATGTATGAGGTTGGAATAACTAATAAGATCAAAATCTGTAAATTTCAATATTTAATGTTGCTACCTTTAAACCGTCTATGTTATTCAAATTATATACCACATGTAAATTTTATGTCTTTTTTTGTATCATCTGAACACAATGCTATTTAGCCGCTTAAAGGAATGCGGAATAATTGTTGATTCGTTTTGTAGGGTTTCTGACTTAACTTAATCCCCTTCAATACAATACTACTTTATTATCCTATATTGTAGTTGTAATGAAATGTCAGAGTGAAGCGTATGCAGTTTTTGTGTTACAGTACTTTGAACCGTCACTTTTCATTTTGTAATAAGCCTACGCCTAATACAATACACTGTCCATGTGAGCAGCATTTTATAGCAATTCCCTGAAGAGGACACGTGAGAGAAAGCATACATGTTAGAAAACCATTATGCTGCTTTGCATTTATGGTAAATTCTTCTAAATTCTAAGTACTTTAGTCTTTAAAAAAGTGTTTTTATCACGTTTTTATCATTATTGTTATAGCAAATACAAGTACTTTTACTTTACATCAATATATGGAAGTGCGTGGTTATCGGTAAATTTCCACAAGACATCTATGCATGAAGCATGTGGCGAAAAAGCCTATCCAGTGGTGGCCAGGGTGGCAGGAACCAGCTAAGTCCGGCCTTGAATTTAGAAATATTAAATTGTGTATGCACACAATGTTTATGAATAATATAATAATAATAATAATAATAATAATAATAATAATAATAATAATAATAATATAATAATAATAATAATAATAATAATAATAATAATAATAATAATAATAATAATAATAATAATAATAATAATAATAATGATCAATATGTCATTATTATAAAGTTAATAAAGTTTAGGTATTAATCATCAGAGATCCAATCATATCACGTTTTATAATTCGGCATGGAACAGTTAGGCCACACTTCTTCTGGCCCTCATGAAAGCAAACTGGTTAGGCGTGATAGTAGTCTTACATCGTCCTATTTAGCCTGCAAATGCTTATTTTCACAATTTCAGTCAGTTTGTTAATATAGGCCCTATTAACTATAAATATGTATAATATTCATAAGTATTACTTTCGTTTTGTGTATGACTATTTCGTTTGGATCTTAAAAAGTAACGAAACATCCATGCTGTTACTGGTATTGTGTATTTTCAAAGCAAATAGTATGTCATTCTTACGCAGATAATATTATTTTACTGTTGTCAGTTCATACATACACTTTGCCTATACCTCTTTTTCTGGAAATTAGTATTGCTTAATATTATAACAATAATAGTTTAAATAGTATATAACACATTGTTCCAATAATGCCACCTCACCTAATAATTTTACGTTATAATAAGGTTGGAGTTTGTTATTTAAACTCTTAAATTTGTAGGCCTACTTGTAAATTTTGACTAACTATTTTTGAAAAAGCTGCTGCAGCGTTTTGTGACGATACTTTCTGACACAACTTTTAGAATTTTCATAATTATTATAAACAAAAATCGATTTGTGATTACTGAGTACTTGCTCTTCAAATTATTACCCTGGCCACTCTGTCGTAGCAATATATAATCTACATAAATAATGTTACTGTAAATTACATTATTTAAATATTATATAGGCCTATCATATATTATTATTATGCCGACTTAATCTATATATAAATGGACACATAAATATCTAACAAAATGTCTGTAGAATCAGTGCAGTTGCTAAACGTATTAAGTTGCTTTCCCCACCCTAGAGTATGCCTAATAAAGTCAACAACAACAGCTGGAATACGAGTCAAATGGATGTAGAGGAGAGTGTACTACAGTGTGACAATGTTCATTATAAAACATGGTAGTTTCATGTCGAATTACATAAAACTGTATTGATCGATATTGAAGTGTGATTGTTTTTAAATACATGATAGGGCCTCGTGTTTCATTGATTAAACATGGTGGGATTATGCAATGGAAGAAAAGATTTATACCAATGCCATATTATAAGACACTCGGTACATAATAGGCCTATATTGAATCTATAATAGATGACTCCGAATAGGCCCATTCGTGAGACGTCTGCTGTTAGTAAAGCACCGGTCATAACACCTTGCCGGAATAATAACATGATATTTTCGTCAATACCCAAGTGTTATCGAACCATGAACATATTTTCAGCCATGATAAGCTACACACAAATACGCGGGAAATCAAGCGTATACATCCAATTCATTTTAGAATGACTAATACAATACACAACAAAAGACGTACTAGAACGAAATTTAGCTATATAATAATAGCCCTACCTACTCTGAACTTACTATTACTACATAATGTAGAGTTCTATTTTAACAAAGGAATGTTGAATCTTTTTGTGTAAATTGGAACACAGGCCTATCTATACTACTGTGTGTGAGACATTGATAAATTAGTAGTACAGTACATTAAATTCACGAAGTAACCGAGGTTTTACACTCTTGTTTTCATTTATTGTGTACCAGCCCCTCTGTTCATTTATTACCACCAGCACTATTGGCCTACATTAATATTAATAATGTACGGTATATAGCCTTCCCTAATTTTTATATGATTAAATATAATTGTGTACACAGTGGTGCGTGCATGTGTGTGTGTGTGCGTGTACACTTCAATTCCCTTCTGTTCTGTATATTGTACCGCAGTAAACTTGTCTGTTGTAGTTTAATCTACATACATAGAAGTGCATGATACGATAATATCATCATTTATCCAATGTGTTGTGCTTACGGTGCTACGCGGTAGACCTGTGTAGGCCTATTAATAATATCTCTGTGTACGGATGAATGTATTTTAAACATAATTTATTTTCTTTCCCGAATATTAGGGGATGTACGATTACAAGATGGTTCGAACATCTTCGAAGGTAGGGTCGAAATCTATTACAACAGTGAGTGGACAACAGTATGCATAAATAGTTTTGATCTAACCGACGCCAATGTAGTATGTCAACAATTATTTCAAGGTGTGTACCATCTATAACAATTTTTTAACAGTAATTTATTCTTGGTGATCTGATGTTGAATTTCTATTTTTTATGAGATTTATTATGGTGTAGAATTACGCCATTATTGGATATGAGATAGGTCAAAACATAAACAATCATGCGGATCGTTGTAAACATTTCTATAAAGCGTTGTCGATCATTTTTGATCATCATCATATTGTCATTAACATCATCATCATCATCATCATCATCATCATCATTATCACTATAATCATTTTTTTGTTTATTATTGCTATTATTATTGTTATTATTATTATTATTATTATTAGCATTATTATTATTATTATTATTAATATTATTATTATTATTATTATTATTATTATTATTATTATTATTATTATTATTATTATTTATTTTATTTTATTTTTTTTAAATTTTCATTTTACTTCAAATCATCGTCCAACAGCGAAAAGCCAATTTCAGGATTCCTTATAGTAATATATTATATATAAAACATTAAAAATATTGTACACATAATTAATAATTAACTATATTATTATTATTATTATTATTATTATTATTATTTTACTATGATCTTTACAGAAAATTCAATAGCAAAAAATGCTGACAAAACGGAGGTTCAAACCCGGGACCTTCTGCTGTCTATATGTAAATGTCTTAACTAATCAATATATTGAGGCTTGGTTGGGAATTCAAATCCGGTTTAAGCAACTAATTCTTCGTCCTCCTGCGCATGTTTAGTGGGACAGCACTATTTCTGAAGAGATACCTTTTATATAATCATCATACAATAGAGTATCACGAAACCGTCTTGCTATAGGCTATATACGCCCTAAATCATAATTTCAGTGACTTAGTAATATTATCCTCTCCTCGTTTCTTTCTTTATTATCCAAAAAACAAAGTTAAAATTTACAATGGAAATTAATATGATATAATTTTTTTTTTAGATAAAAGGAGGTTGAAAAGAGGTAACTTCATGCCTTATCGTGCTCAACATCCTATGAAATGTAATTAACAAATAAATTAAAACAAACGCTTCACTAATTGTAATAATAATGAAAATAATAAGGTAAAAACATGCCATAAAATCTAAATTGAAGTCGAAATTACAATCTTTTATTTTCGTAAAACTTCTTTGAATTTGATTTTGAAGGTGTTTCTGTGTTTAATTTCGCGAATGTGTATTGGCGTTTTATTCAATAATTTGGTGCAAAATACAGAGGTAATTGAAAAGTGTCTAGTTGTAGTCGCTGGATTCGGCTGATATAAATTTCCCTTTGATTTTTTCCTAGTTTCATGCGGATGCGTGATAAGTGTCAAATATTCATTTAAATCTTGAGGCAGTTTATCATAATAAAAATCAAACAAAAATAACTACAGTAAGAGGGCGTAGGACATTGATTTCCGTATTCCGTGTAAACATAAATAAAAGCCATAATACTAGAAAACAAGGTTCTGGAAACAATGTGAGGATCTCGGTGAGAGATACAGAATTGATAAACAAAAGCTAAAATGTATCTTTAACAGCAAGAATAATAATTGAAACCATATTTTTCGGACACAGGCCTTAAAATGACATTACATAATCACACAGGGCTATGTAGGCCTACAGTATACGTATCTCAAATGTATAGAAAATCATAACTTACTATATACATTATGATACCATATCACCAATTGCATACCGGTACATTGTTTCTATATTTTACAGTCCCTGGGTATATTGGTTGTCATAGTAACGCAAATATAATGGTACTTGCCGGTGCGCTATATACCGGGAGAACAGATCTGACTATAACAGATTGTATAGAATCGTGCAGAAATGCCGGGTACACGTATTCAGGGACCATAAATGGAGAGCAGTGCTCATGCGGAAACACAATTGAAGAATCACCTGGAGACGTTACCCTTGTGTCCGAATCTTACTGTAATGTAGCGTGCTCTGGTGATAGCACAGAGGTCTGTGGAGGGAATGGCTACACTAGTATTTATGTCTGTAAGTTAAAATAATTAATGTATGCATTAGAAAGTTTGACATATTTTTATGAATTAAGGCATTGATAAAATTAAACTTCAAAGATGTCCATAACAAATGCCCTTTTAAGTATAAATACCTAATATGGACTAGTATTTGGATAATTAACGGTGATAAAACATGAATTTATTAAAATACCTTACGAATTGATAATAATGTTCTGTAATTTATATGTACATATCTACCCAATAACTATATATTACAACATTGGCCAGTTGAAAATGTCTATCATAACTGTTAATAACATTTTACCTCTTCAAGCATCAATCGGTCAAGATGGCGGCACCTACACATTACCAGAAGGTTACATATATTCTCCCAATTTTCCGAGTGCATACACTGGAGAAACCGTAACATGGATGATAAGCTTTGAAAACCCAACTCTTATCACTGTAACGATTAGAATGTTTTCATTGGCTATGAACGATCAACTGGTCCTCACGTCCGGTGCGAACGCAGTGTCAGAGACGATATCTGGGGGCGAATCTCTTACTTTGCCATACGTCTGGAAACCAAACCTGACAGCATCGTTCGAGATCCAGCTATTGAGTGCCACGACAGATCCACGCAATGGATTCGTTATTTCGTATGAAGGTGAGTAAATCCAATAGTGTATTTTTAGCCCCAATGAGGAGCTCAGGAATACTCTGCTAAATGACTGTGCTTTTTTTCTTTTTTTAGAGAAAAAATAAACGGGCTCGTCCAGGAATTGAACAAGGGACCTTTCACACCCTAACCTAAATTCATGTCTCTAAACCAAAGCCATAATTGTTGTGTCCCACACACTGAGCTACATTTATGCCTCCATAGTTACGTCCCACACATTAAGCTAATTCATGCCTCTATAATAACGGGCTAGTCCTGAAGTTGAACAAGGTACCACTCACATCCGAAGCCATCATGCCTCTAGACCAACAAGCCATAGTTAGAATGTCTTCTTCGGATCTTAAGTATCTAACGAATTTTGACGTCCAGAAAGTACGCTCCATGTAGATTTTAGCGTGGATTGCTCCCGTCGCCAGTGATGGTGGTGGCATCGACTCAGTTGGTCATATAGATTTAGTAACATCTCTGTTCATATTGTTGTACCTGGTTTTGCGACTCTAGCTGGACGCTGAAGTGTAATTACAAATTCTTCATTTCTTTAGCAATAACCGGAAGCTGTGGTGGTGACTTCACTGGTACATCGGGCTACATTGCATCACCAGGTTACCCGGGTAATGCCCCATCATCCAGTTCCTGCATGTATACCATCACTGCACCAGAGGACTATGTTATCGTAATAACGATAGAGCAACGTCTACTACCAAGTGGAACTTCGTTAAGCATAGCAGACGACGGCGTGATCAGTAGCGTTACAAATACTGGTGCTATTGACCCGTCGGCAACGAATGTTATATCTGTGGTTTTCATGTCTGGTACCATATCGTCACCATCTACGTTTCTCATCTCATATACAGGTAATTGAAAATCGATAATATAAATATTGTGTAAACATTATTAATCGTCAAATGTTTGAGAGTTATCTTTGATTGATTTATTGATGGACTGAAACTGATTTGTTTGATTGATTTGTTGGGTGGTTGATTGATTGAACAATTTTCAGTGACGTAGACATTGATTGAATGATTAATTGATTAACCGATTGATTGATTGATTGATTGATTAACAATGATATAGTCACGTAGGCCCATGAACCAAGACATGCTCAATTGCATATTGTTTTATATCTTGGGTTTCTAATGGAATTTGTTTGCATTTTTTACAAAAGCATCTCCGAGAACATGTGACGCGTTACCTACTGTACCCTTCGGCACATTGAACTCTAGTGTTAGTGGAACATTGTACCCACCGCAGACCGTGTCATTCGTTTGCAATAATGGTTATTCGTCACCTAATAACTCCGTCACATGTACAGACGACGGTTCGTGGACATCTGCAGAATGTATAGGTAAACATATCAGTGACTTAAAAGTTACATGTTTTTATTTTTTTCTTTTGATTTTGTTATAATCATCTTTAAAAAAATTAATAATAATTAAACGTCTTTTCGAAACACGTTGGCACGGCAGAGAATTTAACTTTACACTTTTATTTCTGAAGACTTGTAGGTAAAATATCTCAAAACGGGTCCATCTGGTATAAGGCGCAAAAAGGGATAACCCATACCATCAAATACTTTGGAGTTTATAAGTACAGTCGCTTATGAGTCTTCTCTACAATTTAACCTCATTGTATCAGCCTATCTGGCAATTAATTTGTTTTGGTTACACGTGATAATTATGTAACCGTTTAATGTTGTTTGTTTATGTATATGTACAGTTTGTGTATCTATTACTCTGTTGATGACACTAGAAATAGAATAGATTTTTATGCAAATGACACAAAAGAGTGTAATTATGTGTATATGCATTATGTGATCACATCAGGACGAAACAAGAGTCACTGCCGAGTACATTGGTAAAATATCAGCAGATATAAAATATTCATGGATGGATAGTCAATAACATATGATAATAACACACTCTTGTAAATATTTATTTATTTATTTATTTTTTTTTTTGGCTTTCTGTGTATTTAATTTTCTTCTGTATCTAAGACAATAATAATGCTGTCAATGGAGTGACATGCTATCAACTACAAATTATCTTAAATATCTTATGTTCATAGAAAATATGCTTTTAGCTGCAATGTGTTGATTATTATGTAGGCCTAATGTTTTGGCTCGCTTAGTAAATGTTTAAAATGTTATGTTGTTACACCATGCATTATTACTGTTTGTGTTATTGTTGTTTAAAAGTTATTTGTCAGGCTCTGCCGACCGTAGATTCTGGTTCTGTCGATGCTGATGGTAACACAGAATTTCATCCCGGTGACACAGTAACTTTAACATGTGATACCGGATATACTCCATCATCGTCTGTAATCACGTGTGCAAACGACGGTAGCTGGAACACAGAGGAGTGCACTGGTACGATGTGTGAAGATCAGTTAGGGACAATAACAGGTGCTAGCTAAATAGGTTCAGAAACAATGATGTGTCTATTCAAGTTTGAAAGAGCACTAATGCTTCTCAAGCCCGTGTTAGATGCATTTTGTTATGTTTGGCTTTAAATACTAGTTAAATCTTCGTAATTAATCTCGAGTGATATTCAGAACCGTGAAAGTACAAACCCATAATGTAACCATAATCTGTACATTCGTACCTAAGTGTGTGTGTCGATACTCTCATACGGTTTATGTTTATTTTCTTGATGTATAAAGTTATTTGCGATGCAGTGCCGACAATACAATTTGGTTCAGTTGATGCTGGAGGTAGCACAGAATTCAATCCGGGTGATACAGTAACGCTGACATGTAATAATGGATATACGCCATCTTCATCAATGATCACGTGCTTTAACGACGGGTCGTGGTCGGTAGAACAGTGCATTGGTACACAAACTTCCGATTATAAAAACTTCCTTGAACATTATTGTGTGACTTATTCATTACTAACATGTATCATTATCACAGATATAGGCCAGCATTATTTTCTTCTCTGATGACGTGTTAACTGGTGCTACGTTCTTGGGCGGTGGTAGAACAATTCATTGGTACACACTTCCAATAACAACGCCCTTACACATCATATTATTGTGTGACCTGACTATTACTAAAATGTATCAATGGCCCTAATCATAGATACAGGCCTACATCCTCTTCATCACTTGTGGGTGTTACGGTTGATGGTCGGCGGTAGAACACTGAATTGGTATACAATTATGTGATAATAATAACGCCATGCATTTTGCACACAAAATGTATTTTGTGGTTTTCTTTACTTACTAATACGTTTCCAACATTATGCATCAATATATATGATCTCTTTATGTGTGCACACTTCTTTATCTTACTTATCACATTGTTGTTGTTTTTTTCATTGATTAACATCTTTTCATGGTGTAGTTTTTTTTTTCTTCTTTTCATTGATTAACATAATTCATGGTGTAGTGTTAACTTTACCTTCAGTTCTGTCCAGATTATCACTTTTTTTGTCAAAACACTTATAGTCAAGATGTGCTTATAATATAGGCACATGTGGTGACGTCATCATGACTATATTTAGGTATGTCATAGGCCTATGTTTTGTCAAATATAATTTGAAAGTGTGGACATCTTCAGGTGTTTTGTACAGTACATTTTTAAAGATAAACGTATTTTCAATCAGGTTTAAACCCAAGGCTGATTTTAACTAAATAGGGATATTATACACAAATATTGATTGCTCATGAGGGGAATTGTGAAATATATTACCCTGAGGTGATGTGGAGACCGTAGCCTATCGTCCCAAAGGGCTGAAGGGCCGAGTAGTTGGCTACGGTCTCCACATCACCGAGAGGCAATAGATTTCACCGTTTCCCAAATCCAGAGCAGTCATACAATATTTGTTTTGTATGCCTCATACATGGATTCTACGGGCCTAAAAAATGTAACAAAAACTCGAGTTCCCACTAAGTAGGCATAGGCTTACTTCCTAGGCCTAGCCGATCAATGGGCCAATCTCTCTCAGCGGCTTACCGGTCGCGTCACCGTGATCGTGCGTACGTACGTGTCATAAATTAAATACCAACATTATAGAAAGGGGCCTCTCATTCATTGGCCACCAGCCAGGTTTGCGTCACACTTACGGTCCTCTATACATCGCGGCAGGGCAAAATATATTGTCATTTAAACGTGATAGTATTTTTCCACGGGAATTTATGAACTATCACTCAGCCTAGGACTGTGATGGTTAAAGTTATTATACCCGCTTTCTAACCAATCAAATGCCTAGTATCTGTATGTGGTTAATAATTCTTAATTATCTGTTGTGTGCTATATTTTATTCATTATCTATTACACAATAACTTTTAAAAAGACAACCGGTATCTTAACTAGAAAATCTAAAGGTGTGTTATGTATCTTGTTATGTTATGTATTGTATATAATATTCATTGATATTGGGTATGGTTTTTTTCGTACAGCAAATGTTCATATTTTAAGAAGAAAAAATAAATGTCCAATATAAATATGCATATCGATATTGTAACTCTATCCGGCCAACGGGTTCTTGGATAGTCATTGACATTTAATACGCCTATACATGAAGTAAAAGTATATGCACGATAATACTTTCACTGGTATACACATCTAGTCTAACAGAGGAAATATATTCCTACTATTATTGGGATATAATTTGAACTAATATAACAAAACGGTAAACCAACTATTTACCTAACCTATGAAAAACAGTTTCACAGTCAGCAAATACAGTTATTATAAACTAAGTCTGGATATTATAGTATACCCACGTGTGTTACTTGCATGTTATGGGATATGATAATACGAGCCATAGTGTACCCTACAATGCGAGACCCCTTCTAATTCGAGAACACTTTTCCAAAGTACCAAATAACAATCTTCAATCTTAACACAAAACTAACTTTCTAATTGAAGACCGAATCACGAGGCCACCTGGATTTTCAGGTCCCAAATGTGGTCTCGAATTTTTGTGCACAAACTGAATAAGTGGTATAAATTAAGAATCATCAACAGAATAATGTAAGCCTATGTAATGCTTTTGTAATTTGATAGAAATTCCAACAACTACGATGCCCACTGCCACTGTCACAGCAGTTGTCACAACCAAAGCAAATACAGAATCAACTACAACTGAAACTGTTGGAAAAACATCGACCATGGCAACAGCAGTACAATCAACACCGAAAGTTGTTACAGAACCAAAGTCTACAGAAGCCGTAACAACAGTTGACTCGACGACACCGGAAAGTACCACTGAATCCACCCCCGACCGTGGTAGGCTGCTCAGAAATATAATCCATATAGGCCTATAATTCATTATCATCAACATCGTCAATATCAACACCATTATCATCAACCTCGTCATAATTATCATCATCATTATCATTATTGTCATCATGATCATTATCATCAACATCATATTTATATTCATCATCATTTTTTGAATCATTTTATTCATAAATCTCATTATAATTACATAATCATAAATAAAACAGTCATTATTATCTTCATCACTCTCGTCACTTCCACTGTCAACTCGACTACATCCTCGTTACAACAACTAAAAGAAATTCGTAATAATATTGGTAATAGATTTGATTTTGTGTCATATAATTATCCAATGAGATATAAGAGTTGCATTAAAATCTTGTTCAATTTTATCTTACAAAATAAAAAGAAAACCCTAAATATGTCTGTTAAAACATGAATTTCTCATCTGAAAATATCAAAAAATTATAGCTCCCAATAGGACACAGGAAAGAATATTTACTAGCTTATTTAAAAATTCTTTACTTTAAAACAACTGACAGAAAAAATAAAATATAGAAACGTACATTATGTATATGACGTCTCTTAGAGAAAGAAAAATATGTTATATGGGCCATGTAGATGTGGTAATTTTTAAATTTAAAGCTAATAAATATATGTAAGGGCTATTTAACTGGGTTTTTTTTTTGGTTGAAACATTTAGCCTCTGATCTGTGTCGAGTCAGCAGTGATCCTACAATGGAAAGTCTACCAAACCAAGAAACCCCAAACGTGTTGTCACTAAATGTTGGAAACCCATTGGACTGTGACGGATATTTGACGGGAATTAAAATTTTCAGTTCAGACACATCAACCGTCACCATCAACGTTCTGAGGGTAGGTAAAATTTATATTGATATATTTTTTAATAATATATACTTCATATCAGCAATATGTAAGAGACAAACGTATTACTGAAATATATGAGCACCAACACATTTAAAATATTAATTTTGTTGACATTATTTATTCAACGACATAATTATTTTCTATGTCTAACAAACTTAAATAATCAACAAAACCGTCAATTGATAATAAATATCGATAGATAGGATGTGAATCAAAAACACATATTTCTTATCTAGGTAATATATTTAATGAAACTAAAGGAGGTACATCAATAACTCATACTTTCCTAATCTAGGGCTTTAATAGACATGTTTTGACAAGAATAACTTAATACTAATACTCATTATAAAGTAGTTCTATTAGAAATAGTGTAATATTGATAAAGTAATAAAGTACTTTTATTTAACTAAACAATTTAATACACATTTATTATTAGAGGCAATCGTGATGTCATCATTGTAACTCCAGCGTTTTGTCATATTTTAACTATTTTACCAAAAAATGAAAACGTGTGATACGAACTGAATTGATAAATCCATTAGTTCAGAAAAGTCCCTAAATAAGTAATGCATATTCATTTTCTTGTTTGAATTAGTTTTTAGCGACAAACAGGTATCAGCTGATTGGGCGATTTGACGTTGTTGGCGAAACTTCACAAGTAGTTGCTCATTCACTTGACGAAACCGACTGGATTCAATTTGAAAGTGGCGACATGATCGGAACAAGCTCCACATTAAATTCACCTCTAACATTTTCGGATGACCAAGCTGATTCTGTTGATTACATGATTTGGGATCTGATGTCAGATCCTGAATTTCATACTAGTGAAGTTGGTGATGAGATTAATTTAATGAGTACCACCAACAGACCAAAAAGGACGTACTCTTGGGCTGTTTCTATTGAAGCAAGTAGGTATTATCGAAGATACTAGAAACTCAAGATTGAACCCTCCGCAGATAAAAAAAGAAATGAATCACCAAATTGCATGATGGGTATACTGTACTAACTCTAGTTTGCATATCTCCCACCGTAGGCGGCGCCCTATTAAATGAGGAGCCGCCTATGGCAGGAGCTAAATAACTTGCATAGATCTAAATAACTTCTATAATAACTTCAAAAGAGTAAGCATTTAAAAAACCTAAATGTATTTTAGACTGTTCACACTTAAAACAGATTGCTTTAACGTGTCTTTATATTTCCTAGTGATAAGATGATTTTAGATAATCGCATTATACACTGAATCAATTAAATTATTGCTGTTGATGTTGATTCTCTTCATGTTATTGTTGCTGTTTGTTGATGCTGTTGCTTTTTATTATTATTATTATTATTATTATTATTATTATTATTATTATTATTATTATTATTATTTATATTTACAAAAGAAAAATTATAATTCCAATCAAAGTCATATGAAACATGCACGCACTCAAAACAAAGAACAAAACAAAATAATATTACTATTAAAATTATATTCCAATCCAATATTGAAAATTATTTTCTTCATTATTTTCATCTTAGATACAACCTGCCCTCTGCCGACCATTAATAACGCCAAAATAACACCATCATCCGATGTGTATAAGTACGGGGAACAGGTGATGGTTCAGTGCGATGATGGCTACACTCCCACTGAATCCGGTACTCTAACTTGTCGTATAGATGGCAATTTTGATAGTTTTACGTGCAAGGGTAAGAGACTCAAAATAAAATCTAGTTCAGTTTTTTGTAGTTTTTGTTTCTGTAGAATTATTTTTATTTTATTTTTGAGACGAATAAATGAAATTACTGTAAATTGAAATACAGCACAATTTAAAGATTTTCGATACCGGTAGTTATTTATGGCATACACTTTTGAATTCATTTTCTAAATATGTATTGTAATATTGAGGTTGAGGTTTGTATATACTCGCGTATAAGGCTTTTGGATGATTTTTGTATGTCGGGCGCATAAGATGACCCCCCCCCCCCCCTTTTTCATCATCGGAATTTCTTCATTTTATTTTATTTCTGCATTTTATGGTTATCATACTGCATCTAGCTGGCTAAAAATGGAGCCAAATGCAATACTAATCTTATGAGTTTTTAAATGTTCATAAAATTTCCCCGTATTCCAAATAGCTTTCATTCATACTAACATTTAGTAACTTCATTGCAGTAGTAAATTTGCGTGATACTGACGATCCGCACATAAGACGAACATGTGTATGTCGTGCGTATAAGAGCACTCCCTGTTTTTCGATAGTAATTAGCAATTTTAAGATTCGTCTTACGCAAAATTGCCATAATTTAACTTTATACACTATGTGTCTATTTTTGATTTTGATGATTCCTTAATTTTGCTATATTTTATTTATTTTCTTTTGCAGAAAAAGATCGCAAAACGTTTTTTCTCATCATAGGTAAGGTCAGATACTTATTTTTTAAATTCAAAAATAACACTTGAAAATTTGTTTATTGATGAGGGTCGGGGCTCATAATGTCCTGCTGTGCATTCTAACCAGCTTGTATCCCTGAGTAAGGGATATCATTCACCCATTATCATCTGATTAATATCATTATTAGGCCTACATTTTTTTTTATTAGATCAACACATAGCATTTTGAATAAAGAATTTCAGACGAAACTTTTTTTTTAAATATTAATGTTTTATTCATTAAAGGTCTGGTTATTGCTTCGGTACTTTTCGTTCTTATAATGATTGTTATTATAATGGTAGCTTGCATAGAAGAAGACGAACCTATCAGACCAAAACCAAAACGAAGGTAAAGCAAAACAATTTTCTTTTTATGAAAGCACTTGTTATAAACGAGTTACTACCACCACCACCACCATCAGCTTAGCTCTGTCGGCTAAAGTGGTGGTAGCTAGTATGCGTGCGCTAATAAACGGAGATCAGTGGTAATCTTTGATACCCATTTCAATTTCATCCGCTGCTTTCCTTTTGTTTTAGCATGATGGGTTGAAATGTAAATACAAATCTCCACCTAAATTAAAGACCTTCTATTAAAGACCACCCCTAATTACAGACCTCTTTTCTTTGGTCCCAAATGAACAAATATCTTTTATCTCTATTACTCTAATTAGTGACCAAATCTGCAAAAGAACATAGAAACCCCGGTCTCAAAAGTGGTCTTTAATTGGAGGGAGACTTGTATAAAAAGTACAATCCACTGTTTATTATTCACTGTCTGTCTTGAGTTTTTTTATCTGTGGCTCCTGGGACGGATGCAGGAGTTGGCGGAGGGGTGCGTAAAAGTCCACAGCACCCCTACCATGCTTGGGGCTGAGGTAGGAAAATGTTGAGTATATGGATATTTAAGTGCCCGGAATCATATCAACAGTATAATACAACAATTATTTTTCTTAATAAAATTTAGGGGTTACGATCGCACCGTCTGCACCGCCCGCCCTGCATTTGCCCCATGTCTCGACGTTTAGACTCACAAAAATTGTACTAAGATGTTTGTGGACATCGTTCGTGCAAAATTATATTCTTCTACATTAATTGCTGGGGTTTGCAATATAATAATAAGTACTCTTGTGTGGAGCTGAAGCTTTGTACTTAGGATGCTTGCCCTCCCAATCCCAGGGTCCAGTTTAATTCCTGTCAGTGTTGCCGGATGATTTTTTTTCACGTCTAAAACAACTCCACTTCCTAAGCGTTACATTGACATTTAGTTTGTGAAAAGCATCGTGTTTGGCTTGTGAACAGGATTGTTACCTTCGAGTAAGATAGTGATATATTCCCTATTGGCAATCTTTGACGCATGCGTGTGCCTAAAGTATGAAAACACAGATATAAAAATAACTAAATGTGTTTTTTTTTTCTTTAGTAACTATCCATCAACTGGGAGCGGTCGGTCCGACAATTCTCAGCGATTCTTGATACCAATAGATGATGATGGTGTAAGAGGGAAGGGTATTCCCTATACCAATCCAACGCCTGTCGTCGATGAAAGGCCCTCTCAGTTAATTGACCCGCAGTACCCTCCTGTTGATTATCCCCTTGACGACGAGCGCGAGGCGATCCAGGCAATTGATGAAGCAGTGCTGGGTTTCGAGGGAGACAGTTTATCGTTCGAGTCTGGTCCGATGGACACGAGGTCTGGAGGAGACTCAGCCAGGCACCACGTAACGTTTTCTGATAGAAGATGAGCCAGACAAGGAGTGTGTTGCTAGTTTGCACTGTCTTGAAGATTTAGAACATAAAAAAAACCACATTTATTTAATTCTCTATATCTTGTTGACAGTTTAATTGTAAGATTATAATGCCAGTCACAAGAATGTAACAGAATTGTACATGTTTTATGCAAATTATTTTGTAATTTAATCATGAAAGTGTTAGTCTATAGGTAACATATTACCTGGATAGATTAAAATATTGAAGATTTTGTGGTGTAAGAGTATTTTCATTTACCGTACCCGCCGCAAATGTAAATGTCTACAGGACTTTAAGGGTGTTCTCACCAATAAACATTGTATCCATATTGACGAGATGAACTCAGCTTTAGGACTCATGAAATTTGTTATACGGTATAAAAAATACCACAGCATTTGTACGTCAAATGTATTGCCTATTTATTGTGCGTCACAAATGAGGTATTGCGGTAGGCCTTATGATATAATTTTTGAATAATTTTGAAACATATCGAAGAAAAGAACCTCCAAAAACAAATCTTCAATAATACTGCGTTGCATTCTGTCATCTTTGATTCGTTTTTATATTAAAGAGAAATAAATTATATGATGCTATTATACTAGGCTTCATTTTTTTTAAATTGAGATCAATATTCTATACGTGAGCCGAAAACAAATGGACGACGATGTCTACAAAGAAAATGTTTCAATTTGGAAAACTATTGACTGACCTTCACTTTTTTGCAGAAAAGGCAGGCCTAATAAAAAATACTTAGCCAGACAAAAAAAAATCGTCTACCATCCACTATACTACTTTTATCAAATTCAATTAAAAATACGGTATTGCGCATGGATTTTTATTAAATTTCATTCCATTTAAATCTGTTAAAAAAAACATTTCATACAGTTTACTTTAACTGGTGTCACTCTTATTTACCTGGTCTACTAGGTACTTTTATTAGTATGCTTATATCATTATTATTATGTTAATTTTAATTTCTGTATTAAATTCACTTTTTGAAGTATTTGCTATCGTGGTTGTTATGGGTCTTTCTGCAGGGCCAAATTATGCTTTACGAATTATTTCTACTTTTAATAGCTTTAAGTCGCCGTATCTGTTCCTACCTATTTCTTTATCATTATTACTTTTACGTTTATATAAATAAATATAATTAAATGTTCCGTAACATTAACCTTTTCAACATACAATTTAAAAAATATTTAAAAAATCATCTCAAAAATTATCTAGCGCAAACTTGTTATAGTATTGTCCTACTTAATGCTGCCCTGAGTAGAATATAATTATTTATTTTAGTATAACTTGAATAAATTACATAATCTATCGTGACGTATAAAAGAAATTATAAAAATAATAGTAAAAAAAAGAAACACACAACAGTTATATATCTATACTTTTCTGTCAATAATATGTTGTATTTCATACTTGTGTTTGTATTGTGAACCTACTACGTAGCATTTGTTGTGCAACATAGTGATACGACAGTTATATCATGCGACTTAAGTCATACATCATTCAAAGCATACATATTTTGAAGTAGCATTATAAATAATAAAATAATATTAATTGTTCAATAATGTAAGCAATCCGAAATAACATAGAGTATGAAGATAATTTATTTCTAAAATAAACAACCAATAAATAATTATTACTTCTTTCTATCATCACATAAAAGTATGTATTATAGTAAAATAGGAGTTAGGTTAGTTCAATCATATTCAATGATAGTTATTTATTGTCTTCCGGGCTTTAATAGAGAAAATAGTGATTTGTAAATATATATTTACATTCTGTTTTAAAATGTAAAATGTATAACCAGTTATGTTAATGTATGAATTTAGATAGATTTTGAATAAAGGACTCGTATTTTTTCAATATCTTTGTATTTTACACTGTTTTTTTTAGAGTATCAACAAGTTTTTAAAATGAAAACTTAAGTTAACAAACAAGTACAACTTAATCAACATAATACTATTTCATTTAATAATGGATATCAGATATTACCAGATCAATAACTTTAAGCCTAAATTTCAACAATGCATCTCGGAGTAAGATCGCCTAACTCACGGACGATGTCACAGTCACCATACCCTGAACTATCAATTGTATTAAATGCGCCGCATGATACCTCCATACAAATAAGTTGTGTACTCGCATTAATTTTACAACCGACCATACGGAAATAAAAGCAAGGAGGAACGTGCGCAAAGACAATAGACAGATCAGAATACTTTGATGTATCGGCCCACCTAACATGGATTTTCTTGCCACAAAACTGGCATTGCAATAGATATCTTCTTTCAGAAAACATTTCATATAAATATAAATATATATATATAATAACTACACATGGATGATAATATTTGGCCTATTAATCGTGCGGGAAACTTTCTCATAAAGGCTGTAGACCAAACCCATCACCGTTTTCGATTATAATAACATTGTAACAAATATATACTAGGCCTCATTATCATTATATGTTCGTCAATCGGTTTATCATACTTTGATAGCAAATTAACCAAGCTAAATTCCAATCAGTATTACTGTAGGCCTATTAATTAGGTTATTCTATAGTTTAGCCGGGTATTCGTTTAGCCTCCCCGACCTAGGCTAGGGCTAGGCCTCTCAGGTCTAAGTAATATTTATTGCGATATTTTTCTAAGGGAGATGTAAAAATAATGTTCATATCTCTGTGATTGCAGTAACATTAGTTGATAACAAAGTTCAGGTCTATTATTATCGTTATACAGTATATTATCTTGACTGAAGTGAGGCGCGACCGAAACGAAGCGCGACCGAAATGATCGGTTACCTTCCAGCTCCCTAGCTAGCTATGAATCTTTTTTACTCATAGTAGGTGGATGGTGGCTAGGCTAGTCCTTAATAAAATGGTACAATGGTAGTGAGATGGTTCATTCATTAAATCAAAATAATTTCAAATATTTAACCTTTCTAATTACGCCTAGGGAGGCTCCAATTAGTTTACTATTGCCCAGTTTATCGATAAAAATTGCGTGGCCCTAGGCTATGCACGTACCATTCAAGATTATCTAGTCGAGAGGGTCTGTCAGCATTATCTCCTCCTACGGCTGCGTTTTCCATGGCGGTCAATTCCTCTTCTTCAAATTGTGGCTCAAAATTATATGGCTCTATATTTAAAATAATTTCTCCCTCATCGCTTGCAGAAATATCAGAGCCTGAGGTTGTACTTTCTGTGTCTGTATCCATTCTTTCTACTATATGAGACGAACAATACATAGGCCTACAGATTGAATAACAAGTAGGCTAGTTTCTGCATCCGTCTCCAGCTCTAGACAGTATGCTAATGATGTATTCACTCCAAGACGAGGCTGTATCTTTGTTCTGGGTGTGACGTCACACACCTTAGCGAAGATGTGCAATTTCGTTTCTTCCAAATCGCATCTGAATTTCGAAATTATTTTATTTTGACACTGCCAGGTTCCCCTAAAATACTTATACAACCGAAGTATTAGAGTTTTTCTAGAGTTTGATGTCAGAAAGTACTAAATTAGAGCAAACCGTAACATTAGCACTTTAAATGCGCCGCATGATACCTCCATACAAATAAGTTGTGTACTCGCATTAATTTTACAACCGACCATACGGAAATAAAAGCAAGGAGGAACGTGCGCAAAGACAATAGACAGATCAGAATACTTTGATGTATCGGCCCACCTAACATGGATTTTCTTGCCACAAAACTGGCATTGCAATAGATATCTTCTTTCAGAAAACATTTCATATAAATATAAATATATATATATATATATATATAAATATACAAATATATATATATATACACATATATATACATACATATTATATATAAGGGACACTGCGATGTTTCCCCTTATTCCTATCTAGCTTACGAATGCGTTCCATTAGCTTCTACAAACGGTGAGGGCGTCTGTCAGTGTTTTTAGGTCCACTTTCCAACTATCAATACCCAACTCCTTAAAACTATTGTAATACACCTAAACCACGGAACAAAAAACGCCTACCTTACACATTTTGTTACAAAACCCAATGAACCGTGTTTGGTATTCAACTCAAGAATCACAAAATGAACACGTACCCTTTTGACTACTTCAACTGGAACCTATACGTCGCCATATTGTTGTGGTTCAAAACAAATTTACTGTGAGGCGACTTGATAAACTTGTTCGACTTGATCTGATAGTTCCATCAAGTAAAACATGCATATTATTTCTCCAGGAGTTTGTACGTTTCTTCTTCTGGTAACTAATGTTTTGTCAGATGTAATACTATCTTACGAAGGTAAAATATCCTTTATTTCGTAACAATAATATAAAAATCAAAGGTCATTACATATTGCTATGAAAAAAATGCATTTTGACAGGTATTTTGATAGCTGATACTAGTTTTACACTTGTACAAAATGTATTTATTCAAAAATAGTGTGAGAATGGTTATTCTAGTCATTCAATTGGGACAAGTAAATGGCCTACAAGCACGAACATTATTTATTTTAAAATTCGAATCAACCTAATCCTATGCAGTTGAATAGATTACAATGTGTAGATCGATACTGTAAAACCTCAAATATAAGCCTAATAGGCTTGATCTAGAGAAGAAGCCCATCTCCAATTGAAACTCCTCCCTTTGGTTTGCAAAAGTATCATCGAAAAGAAACCCATGGGCTTCTTTTAAAGATAGTATGGGCGCGGCTCTTTACGGGATACTACAATACATACTGTACATGAAGAATAAAAAAAAAAAAAAAAAACAGGTTAAACTAAAAACACGCTTGGTTTTAAATACATAGTTTAGGTGATTTAATGCCGGTTATACACTCTATGATACAGCTTGATGTTACAGTGACACTATATATTGCTTTACAGTAATAATTCTATAAAAAAAATTACAGCATCCATTTTATAAAGAAGCCCTTTTTACTTTGCCAAAAAAGCCCATCAAAGTTATTCAAACAAGGTCACACTAATTCTTTACTGCCACTTTGATGTAACAAATCATTGAATTAGCTATCCTCATAATGGCCGTGTATTTACTCGGTTGTATAAGTGCTGTGTTCCTTGATATAGAGAGTACTATATTATAAGACAATATTGTACTTAATCCATCCAATGTATTTATCATTTGTTGGTATAGTGTGGGGAATGAATACCAAAGGATACACAACTGATGTCTGTGTTTATCAGATCTGATGAGTTGTGTTTCCGTTAATACTCCTAATATGCACAGGTCTACTTTTCCATGTGTGTACATTGTTTTGAAAACCTATATCAACAATTTAAATTCGACTGATCACCTTCGGGAACATTAATCAACAGCCACTACTGACCAATCAAATAGTTATTGATCAGTTTGTTCTGACCTGTGGAACAACTATAACGCCCAAGTTGTATGTCGACAATTAGGTAAGATAACATTGGTTTGCACAAACTAGAGCTAAGATAGTTGCCTTTTATACAATTCTGTTTTAATTTAATTAAATTATTGAAATGTGTGTTTTCATATTCAGGTTTCACTGACGGGGTCCTTATTGATAATGTAATAAATAGGTATCCTTCTTCGTCTGGAGACATATTTCTATCGAACATAACGTGTGACGGTAGTGAGTCAGCAATTGTCGATTGTAAACATAACGACTGGAGCGATAACGATTGTAGCCACACTAAAGATGTCAACGTGTTTTGTAAAGGTAAATTTGTAAAAAATGTATACAATAAAACATTAGGTATATGCTGCCATGTAAATATCTTAAAAACTGATTAAAAAAATGTGTTGAAACTTTTTTTTCTTTATCCATAAGAAATGATTTACCGGTATCTACCAAATCAATTTTCTGTCATAACATTTAAGGATTTTAATAGTAAAATTTCCCTAAAATCGCTTGACTAAATAACACAGTGGGTACATTTTATTAATGTTCCGTCAATATTAGAACGTTGTATCTATCATTATTAATGTCATTTAGAGCCTTACCGGAGTAATGTTAGGCCTACTCCTCATAGTTTGATTGGGGCCGGAGTACAGTGTAGTAACGTCTCTACCAAATGATGCTTACTTGGATTAATGGTTCAGATCTTGTCAGTTGTTGATAACTACTAAAACAACTTATTTCATAAAGCCTTATCAAACAAGTTTATATATGCCTATCATTATTCCATCCTGTGATTTGTAAATTTACTATATAACATATTTATGGGGGGAAAAATTAAAAGTTAGAAAAGAAATAAAAACTAACCAGAACTTAAGAAGTAGATGAAGCGATTTTTTACCTATCGATCGATCTCAAAATTAAAGCCCAAAAGGTTCCATTAGTTTTGTATTACATTACAATAAACATTTTTAGTTCCAAGTTATAGGGGATGCGTTGTCAGCGAGTATCCAGACTACGCCCTGACTGGTAAACAAGTTGGACTTTCAGGTCCGTTGAGGCTGGACACCTGTATGGAAAATTGCGAGAACTTCGAGTTTATGGGCTTAGAGGGTGGTGATTCTTGTTTTTGCGGATCAGATAATTACAAGGAATACGGAGAGGTTGAGGCAACTGCTTGCACCACACCGTGTGAAGGAGACAGTTCGCAATACTGTGGTGGGTCAAGCAGAATGGCGGTGTACCAGCGTAAGTTATTATTAATTATAATATGATATTCAATGTGTCTCGATAATGATAAAGAGGTGCAAGGTTGGCAACAACTAGGGACACTTAGCATATGGTACCCTAGCCACTGCCTCTTTTGTATTAGTAATAGTAGTAGCATGAAGAGCAGTGGCATCTCCCAATTTAAATGCAAATCTCCGGGTCTCCAGGATGTTGTCAAAATCTCCAGAATTTTCAGAAAACAACGCCAAAGTACAAAAAAAAAAACAAAAAAAAAACCCAGTTAATTTAGTGGCTGTTTCTTACCAATAATTGGGTATTTCTGTGTCAATGCTCATTTTTTGCTCCGACTTTATCAACGATGTCAACGTACAAAGACTTCCCGAGTGTTGCTGACTCCTCAGAATACACGTATGAACAAACTGGGTGGGGAAGCACTTCACCAGCAGCAACAGCAGTAATAGTAGTAGTAGTGGTACATTAAAATTGATTTATATTTATTGGGGCTATTTTCGTTCATGTTCAGGTCGTTGCTTGCCAGCGGGTTCATCCAGTGGTGTAGTGATATCACCTAACTTTCCCGGTGACTATGGCAGCAATCAACAATGCCAGATACAGATTGACCTTTCAATGAATGCTAACACTTATGTGACCTTTCACCTTTTTGAGCTCACTGGTGATGACATGTTAACATTATCTGATGAGAGAGGGGATACTGTGACGTATTCCGCGTCAAACCCACCGCAGTTACGCACCACCATTGATTCACAAACACTGTACGTCAACTTCGTATCTTCTGCAACGTCACTTGGTGGACCAGGTTATGTCATTACATACAATGGTAAATATTCAATTAAATAATTTATTTAGATAAAATATGACTACGAAATATGATGGTGATGATGATGAGGAGGATGATGACGATGGTGGTTGTGGTAGTGATTATGATACAAATGTTGATTAAGATAATGTTGAAAATAATGATAAAATAGCATATGATATATTATAATTTTTTTTTATTGTTTATTAAACTAGGTCTTCTGAAGTGTCCACCTGATATTCAATTTGCCAATGGCACCTTGCTGATGGAGGACCACGAGTTTTACTATGAAGGTGATACGGCTATTGTAATGTGCGATGACGGATTCGAACCGATTGAGGAAGAGCTTGTTTGTACAGAAGAGGGCGTGTGGTCTGCTACTCCCTCATGCATAAAAGGTGAAGCCGTTAGGCTTTGTTCGAAAAAAGATAAAAAAAATTCAACTAGTGAATACGATTTACTATTGCAGTAAAAACGATAGTTAAAACCAGAGTTATAATTTAATACGGTACATTATATGTATTCTTGCATTTTCAGTTAGTCGCGGCGAACTTCCGGACGAAGAACAAGACGAATCCAACTTTGAACCAATTCTGTTTATGTGTAAGCTCAGAATTACTTCATTATGATTATAACGACGTTGATAATACCTAACAAAATAAATTATGATGATGAAGATATGATGCGGATGACGATAAAATAACTGTAATGATGATTTAACGAACAATGACGATGATGATAATGACAATGATAAAAACGTTGACACTGAATAATCGATAATGATGACCTTGAATTATAATGATGAATATGCTGTTAACAATTATGAAGATGAAGATAATTATCATATGACGATGATGATTAGAATGATGACGACAATAATGATGATGATGATTAGAATGAGGATAATAGTGAAGATAATATTTCTGGTGATAATAATGATGGTATTATTGGCTGCTGCTATAGTAAACCATTTTTTAATACTTAATAAACCAAGGTATTTACAAATATTTATCTTCAATGCTTTAGTGAAATTTGTTTCTTATAAAATATATATATATTTTTTGTAATAAATCAAGGTGTCATAATAGTTGCCGTGCTTGGCCTTGCATTTTTGATCGTCATTATCGGGATCCTATGTACGAGCAAACAAAATAAGGCTGGGTATGTATATTATTGAAAATATTATTCATCACTTGCCCTCAAAATATCATCGTCATTGACATCACCACCATCATTATCACTGTCGTTATCATCATCATCATCGCCTCCCTTACTACCATACATTATCAGCATCATTGTCATCGTATTTATCATCATCACCACCACCACCACCATAATCATCATTACATCGTCATCATCATCATCACCCTCATGGTATTGCCATCATCATTGTCATCACTGCAATCGAGTTTATCATTACCGACGTCGACATCATCATAATTAACATAATCGTCATTATCAATATCGTATCATTATCATTATTATATTCATGAAATCTCAATAATTGTTGTTGCTGTTGCTGATGTTGTTATTATTATTATTATTATTATTATTATTATTATTATTATTATTATTATTATTATTATTATTATTATTATGCAGTGACAAAATGCCTTTGGAGAATACCGATACGTCTTCATCTGAGAAAAGTGAATCAGTAAATCAAGATATGTTTGACAGTGGCCAAGGACATTCCAACCCACAAGTTGAAATTGAAGACGCAAATGCAGCAGATAGTGATGAAGAAGAATCAAGATACCTCTCAAATTTGTACTAAACATATATTTGTTGTTAAACACGTAACTCACAGTAAGAATCCAGACACAGGGTGTCGGGCAAAATTTTTAGAATACAATTAATCCCGGTTTCCTTGAAATCGACACACTGTCGCTGTGTTTTCAGTGCAATCGTTGTACTGCAGCAGTCTCGATTACGCATAGTTTCAATAGAATCGCTACACGGTCGCTACAACTTTTTCACTGCAATCTTTGCACTATGTACCTAGCAACCGGGAACGCTTCCTGATTTAACTGACCAATCGGCGTCGTCAAATGAGTTGGCGATATCGCGTAGCGATCTTTATAGAAACCAGGCTTTCGACCGACCAATCAGCATTACCGAACGCTGTCGGCGATAGCGTGTAGCGATTGTATGAAAACCAATTTTTAATCAATTATATTACTTATGCAAAAATAAGTGTTTCCTACAGTTGTTATCCCGTAATAGTAATTGTAGCCAAATTGATCTTCCATGTATTATTTAAAAGAGCATGAACATGTTTAAAACAAATCTTTGCTCTCGCAATATTCGAATTGAAACGTGACTATGCTAAGTAAGCTTTTTTTTTAAATTACTGTTGCTATTTATAGTAAATCAATACTTATTGTACATTCTTATGTAGTGTAGATGTAATGTCGGTATACTACATGGTTCCTGTTATTTTACGTTGCAATAACCCTCAATCTGACATTGTTGTCTATTTGTTGATGTTACAAAAGACACTTGAAAACTGTACGCTAATTACAGTATAGGATTATTTTGTATACAGCAAAATATAATATACAAATTAAATGGATCTCACGTACTGGTTACATGATTCATTTTGAGCCCATCCCTCTACATACATATTGGACTGCAAATATCCAAACACTCTCTAGCTGATTGGCTATGATTCAGGAACACGGCGTGTATGCATGCACTCTAAGTTACGCGTAAACTTAAGTGACGTAATAAGTATTACATGAGACAAAATGTAAGATAGATGTGATTACCTTACATTTTTTTAAGGAACTGGTGATATACTGTATTATGTGATAACATAAACTGAAACTACACAAAAAAGGCGAGTTTATGAAAATCTATATTAATGATTTATCACTACAGTACCGTACAAGCTTAATTCAAAATAGGGCCTATCTAGTTATTTACTATGATTTTTAAAGCATATTGTATTATTTTTAAAGACATTTTTAAGCTTTAACTACGTCTGCTATAAGAATTATTTGTTTCATAGTATTACACGATTTGCCATTTATTATTAAAATCATTATTAATGATATCATCACCATTTGTAATTCTTGAACTAATAATAAATGAGAGGATATTATGAATTCTGTAAAAAATGCGTGCTGGAATATGATTTTAAAGAAGGAACTCTTAGAATCTTTTCAAATTGAGGGACAAATACATCATTAAACAATCGCAATACATAAGCTAGTGTTTTACAATACCAATGTCTTGTAGTTTTACATTATATATATTTCGTATATACTCTATTTTACTATTAATTAGCTTACGTTAATCTTTTTATTTATATGTATATTGTATTAAATTACACATTTATTTTAATACGAATAAAAATCACTTAAGTGAAACATAATTTATAAAGTGTGTGTCATTTTTTAGACACTTATCAGAAATGAAAAAAAAATACAAAAAAATATCCTTCGTTGCATTGGCCGGTGTTCGAATAATGGAGGATTGGATAAGGAGAAACAATGCTGTGGTAGGCCATTTTCAATAGAATGATGTGTAGGCATGCGGTCGTGGGCTAAGTCTGAATTCTCCTAGTGACCCCACATAAGTCAATACTTTACTATCATGTGTACTTCTGACGAAGGAATAATTCAAACCTCAAAAACAGGCGAAAATGGAAGAACATTCATTGATCACATCGTTGCAATAGCATGCACGTAATTAATTATACAAAATATAAAAACATAATTTTATTAATCATTCGGTATGAAAAAAAAATCAGTTTATCTAAGATTAAAAATTTTCTTTATTGTATAAGAGATTTCTGGGGGAACAATGCTAACTCATGGACATGTGTTGAATGAGTGTGCTGTAACAGGACCCACTGTCCACTATCTGAAGTTGACAACCCTTAGTTAGTGGCATACATTACCAACTGCCAATTTTAAACAAGCACATATTTAAATTTAAGATATAATAATAATAATAGTAATAATAACAATAACAATATCAATAACAATAACAATAACAATAATAATAATAATAATTAATAATAATGCTAATTGTCACCAAACAAAAATTCATAAATTGATTTCCTGCAAGTAAGCTCTATGAAATAAATATAAAATGTTATTATCTGTACATTTGATACGTTTTAAAGAAAATTATTTTTCAAAAATATTTTTTTCTTACTTCCTAATATTCAATTGAACGTTAGAAAAAAGATATTTATTTATCAAAATATTTCTATTGTGAATAGGAGATTTCTGGCGGGGAAAATTTTGATTCACAAGGATGTTTTTATGACAAACATTCAATATGGCTACTATGCAATGAATCAGGGTAATATGGTATTGCATTTGGTAAAGCCTGGCTTCCGTAACATTGCTACACTGCCATACAGTGTTTTCAGTGTGCAATCACACATATATGTACATACATACATACATATATATATATATATATATATTTTAAAAGGCAAATGGGAAAACCCATAAAACAGCACAAACGGCCACATAATGCAAAACTATTTAAAATTAAAACGGAACAGTAGAGAAAATCCGATCAGAATGACAAAATAAACTAAGCATCCACTGGAAGGAATCATATATTCTGCAGACGGATCCGTTATATATATATATATATATATATTAGTCCCCGACGCAATTGGGAGGGCTCCCTTATTTGACCGACCAATCAGCTGTCGGCAATAATGTGTAGCAATTGTATGGAAAACGCTGGCTTTATTTTAAAAGAAATTATGTTCACTTCCTAATATTCAATTGAAAATTAGCAACAAATATTTATACAGTGTATTGCTAGGCCTATGTTGATTATGTTTATTATCTCCCCAGCAATATTACGTTGCTGACGTATATTAAATATTCTCTTCCGATTCAAATCAAAGGTTCTCTTCCGAACCGATGGAAATTGTGCCGTAATTTTTCTCAGGGCTGTCGTCACCTGTTGTAGGCCTATGACTGTAGCGGAATGAAAATCCGCTGATGCTGCTTAGACGGGACCCGGATGTCTGTTCGTGATGTTTATGTTTTTCAACAGCCCGTCGCCATTGATTTTTACTGAAATGAAAATTACTGGTTAATGTGAAAATGACCAAATAATGAGCTTATATTGCATGGTACGGGAGAGCTTTTTTATTTTATTTTTTTTTATTGCAGACCACAGTAATGAGGGATTAGCAATCAAAATATAGTTATTTGAATAGGTAAACTAATAGTTTTGGTCCGAAGACCTTTTTGAGGCGTCCAACGATAGGGGGTCTAAGCCTGTCAGACGAGTAAGAAAATCCCCCTTCCCCCGCTGGCACCACCACTGTGTCTTTGAGTATGGGTGTTTGATATACATTACAATTGGATGAAAATGCATTTTTTTTATTATTATTATTATTATTATTACTATTACTATTATTATTATTATTATTAATACTATTATTATTATTATTATTATTATTATTATTATTATTATTATTACTATTATTATTATTATTATTATTATTATATTATTGTTATGATTAGTGATATTGTTATTATTATCAGTATTATTATTATCATCATCATTATCATTACTGTTTATTACTGACATGATCAATTACTTACATTCTGTGACGGTGAAGTAAGGATGCAACGATAAGTATACAAACACCAATAATAACGACTGGAACGATAGCCGCCGTGGCTACAGTACCTGAAATTATAAGTATTTAATGTGTAGCTATTAAATTACAACTGTGAGTGAAAAAAATATTCAGATTAAACTATCCTCTTATTATAAGTCATTCAGTATTATTAATTTTTCTTTAACAAATATTCTGTATTTAATGCCGTTAACACAATGCTTTTCATTATTATCATGATTAAAAAGTTAATGAATTTTTAATGAAGTACCACCTCACCTGAACTATAGCCTGATGCCTGGTTTGCTGAAATTTATATAACAAAAAACAGCCATATAAGTGAAGATGACAAATTCATCAGTGACATACATACATTATACAGTTATATTCATCATAAAATGCGAAGAGAAAAAAAAAAAGTAACTACGCTTTATTGTCAGCCTGTGGTGCCCTCTTGCAGAGACCCCACTCCCACCCTATTAGATGTGGTTAATTGTCCCAGTATTTTTGACAGACATAGTCACCCCGACAAAGCTTTCTGTAACACGTCATGTCACAGTCTACTGTGGATCTGCAAGAATTCATAGATTCGTATTCGGGATAGGCTAATGTGTACGTATCCGCTCAATCGTAAAGGGTTGCATAATTCAAAAGTGGGGATCAACATTATAAAACAAAGCACCAACAACACACAATAGTATTAACTTAACATGGATTTGCCAGCCTAAAGCAAGCATTCATTCCAGTGGCGTACGTTTTGAAATGGGGCTGATGGGGGCAGGGTGGTGAAGGTACAGTTAAGTGGGAGGCTTAATGATATGATTAAGTGAGGGGTGCTACCGCAAAATAAGGTTATATTATGAGGTGTTTTTTTCTACTTGGAAACTACTTTTTCGCTTCAAAAATTTTTCAATTGGAGAGACAGGGGATGGAAGCGAGTTTTGCATTTGGGTGGGGGGGGTGATGGGAAGCATTAAGATAATTTTCTCAAAAGTTTACGAGGTTTCCCCACTGTAATTTGACTAATAGGCTTAAATTATGTTGTAATAGGCCAATACAATCGATGAGTTAAAGTCTGTATTACAAGATATACTTTTGAGAATGCCTTCAAATCTCTATGCATAACTTTATAGAACTGAGTTGCATGATCCAGTCTATAATTACAGATCACGTTTTCAGATCACTAAAGGTATCGAAAAAAGTACAGTAGGGCCTATATATCCCTGTGTATAGGCCAGGAGCGTATCCAGGGAGTACGCTACCCTCCCCCAACCCAAAACAAAGGGCTCCCCAGTCCCCCACCAAATAACGCTAATTAAAAATCACCCGCAAATATTGCGAGCTAGCAACCCTTACCTATCATCGACCCCCGGCACTTCACATTTGCACCCAAATCCCCCTCACAATTCGAGACTCCTAGATATCGCACTTATGACATATGTAGGCCTATACTGGCAAATCTAGGGGGGTACTCGGAGGTGCATGCCCCTAAAAATTACTCACGTCCCTCCCTCAGTCGCCCCCAAAAATCACAGTCAAGTACGTAGTTAAAAAAAAATCACATAAAATCACCTTATTTTGCGAATTTACGCCCATCAAAAGATCATCGAGGACCCTCCACTTCACCTTGCAGTTCCCCACCCCCATTAGGACCCCAATTTCAACACTACAATATACGCCACTGGGCCTATGAGAGTTTTCCGCTACCCACCCCCCCAACACACACACACCATTACATCATGGGACCACCGCTGGCTACTTTTGGTCGGATTCACTATTTAAAGCCCTTACCTTGGCACACTGGTGTATCCTTATGCCATGTCGCTGTTGCTAAACAATAGAGAGGCGTGTTTCCTACCAAGTAGTAACCGTCATCGCACTTGAAACTGACTGATGATCCAGGCTCGAATATGTCACCAACTCGGTACCCATTGCTGGGTTGGCCAGGATCGGGACAAGTCGATCCATCTGAAATGACAACTACTAATTGTTACTACAGTATTTTCACATGGGCACATCACATTCACACATTGTCACACAAAAATGTAATAAATAGTGCCGACAGCTCTGAGCACAGAGAACAAAAGTAAAATTAATACGAAGTACTGTATAGTACAGAACAGGTAGTAAAATGACATTAAGACATTCAAGTGATCATACGAGTCTACATAATTAGGCATTCGACAAACAACATGCAAAGAGGACAATAAAAAATCAAATTGTACTAACATATTGGGTTTCCGTACTAACCTCACGCACCCTCTATGATGAACAGTACTTTCTGTTCACTGATAAGTCAATAGAAGCAAATGAGGGCGCACTACAAATACGATAGCCAAACGTTTTGATTTTCGTAAGTTAACTCAAGTATAATTCATGCTGTGTATGGTATAATACTGCAATCTAGTACACGTACAGTGCATTAGTATATTATTACATACAGTGCTCATACCATCAAATATATAGTCTCATAACATTTTAGAAACTAGTCTGAGATGAATAGACAGTGAATTTTTATGAATTGATAGGGATGTCTTTTAAT